TCCTTGAAGGCTATTGAAATGACCTTAAGGATCAAGGTCAAGGTACCATCATTTAGCCCCTCTAAAGTAGAACAACTTTTGTTCCGGAATGCACAGTTTTCGAAATATTTAGGTGGTGAGCTTGGGACACCTTGCATAGATAAGTATCAAAATGGAATTACACTCCTTCCTAATGTGTGTTTTTGTATGTGCGGGCGAATTCTTTTTTCAAAGACGTCTATGCACTACCACATTGGTCACGTATGGCAAGTGTTCCATTTCAGTTAAATGTTTACGTTGACAATTGTGTCATTTCATTACATTCCCCTTTTGTACATAGAATTTGTATTTCAGGGGAAATTAAATCAATCTCCATAGCTGCAACCTCGGATATACCGTATATTGAACACGATGCACCCCAGGGTATGGTACTTGGGCTGATTTTATCTATGATCTACATCAATGCCTTTTTGAACCACAAAGATGACAATTATATACAATTTGCTACAATCGCTGTTAGATCTTAAATTATGTCTGAGATTTCTGGGAAGTCTGTGATCGCCAAAACTGGTTTATTGCAAAATAAGCTGACCCTGAATGAAGTCAAGACAGTAAATATGACATTTTTATTGAAACATCTAAAACCACAACATACAGAACATACAAAATTTTTGTACACATATACACATAGGTAGGCGGTAGATAAACTCGCACTGACGAACGCGAAGGTACCACCCGGCGGATTCTTAGACGGACCCAGAATGTGTTCCCTCGCTACAGTCCGCATGGCGCCCCCCTCCAACCCCTGTAACGCCATTTAGTCCCCCGGTAACTATGGGTGTTCAGGTCTTAGGCCTTCGTGGCCGTTCAAATATTGAAAAATAGACAAGAAATTGAAATGGGTCACGTACATTGATGAAATAGCAAAAAGCTTAGTTCTCTTTACAGAGGCAGGCAATCGAGATATTGTGTTCATGTACATTGATGATTGCAAACAGTCATTGAAATAAGCGACGATACATTGCTTTCAATATATAGCTAAGCAGTATTTAAACGCAACGAAATTTAAACAGGTACTCAGTTTTTATGGACTAAGGCAAAAAGCCTATGATCACACCAGAATTACAAATCATTCAAGAACAATTATAGACTTGATAATAACGAACGAACAAAATTTAATTGCAAAAGTTATGCATACTCCCAAGGTCGGTGATCATTCATGGATATGCTTTGAAGTTGAAAGTAAATTTGATGCTGACAAACTGGAAGAAATTACTAATATTAACTATGCAAAATTACGAGAAGCTCTTTTATTGTAAGATATTGCTGAAGCGTTTGTTGATGTTGATAGCTACTATATAAGCTTATTGGATAATGTTGAACGTTGTATAAAAGAAGCTACAGTCAAGACAGCAATTTATAAAAGAAAAATCCAACACCTTGGTTCTCGCAGACGTTCAAGGATTCTAAATTAAAAAGAGACTACAATTATAAAAAGGCTTGAAGGCTTGAATACACAAGATCAAGAAACCAATCTGTAGCAGTTCTACAAGATGAAAACAAAAATATCACAATGCCAAAATTGGTCAGAGTTAAAATAATAGCAAACATATGTGGAAAACGTTGAAAAACATTGTTTCTGCTATTAGAAAAGTACATTATCTGAAATGAATTTCGACGGTGGGGTAATAACAAATGATGAAATAATAGCAGATCGAATGAATACCTATTTCATAGAAAGTGTCAACGACATTGTAAAATCAATTATTGGGATCCCAACCAATGTCCCATTAGCTCAGTGAGTTTAGAACAATAAACATTAATCGTCTCAAGAAGATTATATCAAAAATTAAATCAAATCTAAATAAGAGTGAGATTTCGTCTAAAAGTGTGCTTAATGAACGTTTTGATATTATTGGAGCAAGAGTATCAATCCTGATAAATTACTTTTCTACCATAACTGCTGTTTCTAAAGTTAAGAATTCTGAGTTGTACACCTATATGCGGCCAATAAATGTTCTGCCAGATGTTAAAAAAGTTTTTGGAGAAATTATTTACGAATTTATTGAGGGAAATAACATTTTATTCAAATTTCAAGCTGGATTCAGGAAGAAACACGGCAACACAAATGATTTTATAGGACTGGAGGATATGTATGGACAATCGGAAACATACATAACAGTGTTTTTGGACTTCAAAAGGTCGTTTGAGACTATTGACAGGGATAAATTACTTACAAAATTGCATCACTGCGGATTTAAAGGATCTGTATCCAAAATTCTACAAAACTATTTAATTGACAGAAGTCAAAAACCAAAACTGGACCTACATTATCAAGATCAAAAAATATTTCTGTTGGTATACCACAAGGTAGTGAACTAGGCCCACTACTATTTATTTTATACATTAGTGATATTTGTAATATTTTAGATTATTATAAAGTTCAGATATTTGCAGATGAAACATTTGTATACATATCAGATGAAAATATAGACACTGCTTTAAAAATGCTAAATTTTGACTTTTGACCAAAAAATGGAGAAATATTTGAAAATGTTGAATCAATTAAATATTTAGGTATATATATATCGATAGTAAACTAAAGTTTGAGGATCACTATGAATACATTATTTAAAAAATTGCCAAAAAGACAAATTACTTCTATACGACTTCTCATTGTATTGCTACCTATTCCAAGAAAATAGTTTATAATACTATTATTCTTCCGCATTTACTATTTGTTCAACTATCTTGTTCACTGCCAATGAAGCTGTATTCTCAAGATTACAAGTCATGCAAAATAAAGCTAAGCGAGAATAATATTGAATAAAAATAAGTACACCAAAATAAAATCTATGTTACAAGAATTACTGTGGTTGAATATAAAAAATTTCATATCATATTTCGGAAAGGATTACTTGAATTTAATAAACTAAATGATGATATAAAGTCTACTTGTAATTTAAAGATATTTAAAAGAAAACTAAAGGAATATTTCCTGGACAATGAAAATTCTTAGAGGTGCAAATTTTGTTTTTTTTTCTGAATGTCTGTATGTTATGTAACTGTTTAGCTTTAACAAAAAAACCTATCTCGAGTACTGACTATGATACAAGGAGTGCTGGGAACTTAAGTATTCGTTTTGTAAGGTTATCAAAAAGTAGGAAAAGTATAAGAATCACACTATATATTGCAACCAAAATGCTTTTTATTGATATCAACATTTTTTGATTTTTAGATTTTAATATGTGCTTTATCTGTTTTCTTTTTTATTATTTTTATACTTTTTAGCATAATTCTTATACAGGGTGTTCCATAATTATTGCGACAAAATGATAGGGGTTGTAGAGGGCATAAAAATATGCAATTTTGCCTTATAAACCCCTGTTCGTAAATATGCCGTTTGAGCACTACCGCTAATTTTACCTTAAAAGCTCATAGGAGAAACAAAAAATTCACCAGCTGCAAAATGTTCGCCAAGCACATTTCATGGTCTCGCCGGTTTGTAAAAAAAAGCCTGCTGTGTTTTTACATTTTTGTTATCGTAAATTCGCCACACCGATTCATTTAATTTATCTGAGTGGTGCGTCAAACTAGATAGTAAATAACAGTACCTTAGTGTTAAAATGCAGCGTTATTCGTATGCGGAACTTGCGGATATGCATTTAATTTACGGGAAGCTGGTAGTAACGGAAGACGAGCCTCGCGAATCTACGCCCAACGGTTTCCAGAACGTCCTCATCCGCATCACGCCATTTTTGCAAGGTTTCATGGACGTCATCGTGTCAGTGGCAGCATCAGACACCTCGCGGGAGCAGGGCGGCCCTTCACGAGGCGTACAGTAGAATTTGAGGAAGCGTTTCTGCATCATGTAGAGGCCAATCCGCGTACAAGCGTGCGTGCTATTGCACATGATATGGGAGCGTCTCAAACTACTGGTTGGCGGGTTCTCCATGACCAGCAACTACACCCATACCACCTTTTAAAAGTCCAAGCCAAGGGTCCAGAAGACTATCTGCCGCGTCGACGTTTTTGTCGTTGGTGGCTGCAGCAGGAGTTGAGGCAACCAAACTTTGGTCGCTACGTTTTGTTCACTGACGAGTCCTGTTTTACAAAGGACGGTTATATTAATAGCCGTAACAGTCACATTTGGGATGAAGAAAACCCTCATGCCATAGCCATCCATAGAGACCAACATCAGTTTTCAATTAACATCTGGTGCGGCATTGTGGACGAGCATATCATCGGGCCATATTTGCTTCCACCATGTTTGGATGGACATGGTCGATTCTTACAGCATGTGCTACCGGAACTATTAGAAAATGTGCCACTGAACATAAGAGCCAACATGTGGTTTCAACACGATGGCGCTCCAGCCCGCTTTCTTTACAAGTGCGGCAGTATTTGGACGACAAATTTCCAAATAGGTGGATAGGCCGAGGTGGCCCTGTGCCTTGACCTGCGCGGTCACCCGACCTAACCCCACTGGGTTATTTTCTCTGGGGCCATCTGAAAGCTTTAGTGTACGAAACTCCTGTTCCCAACCAACAAGAGCTACTGGGAAGAGTGATGGCCGCGTGCGCACATGTTCAGGACATACCGGGGGTATGCCACAGAGTTCGCCGATCATTGAACAATCGTGCACAGCTGTGTATTGAGCAAGGTGGAGGACACTTTGAGCAATTACTTTTGGTAAGCTATTTCAAGAAACTGATCTTTTTTTTTTGCTGCAGCCCAAACGGCATATTTCCGAACAGGGGTTTATAAGGCAAAATTGTTCATTTTGATGCCCTCTACAACCCCTATCATTTTGTCGCAATAATTATGGAACACCCTGTATATGCAAACCTATATGTGATCTGCATTCGACTACTATTATTAGAATTCGTTTCTATCTATGCTATAAAACTTTGTTACAGAATGACCCGTGAAAGTACAGTATGTACAATAACACCAATAAAGCATTGTATTGTACGAGAAAAAACAGAAACTGTGCTAATAAGTCTCAAGATCCATCTTACCTTCTCGCATTCCAAATCACTCCTCACAGTAGGTATAGCAGTCAGTCCAGAGATTGCCTTAATCCTCTGGTTCCTAAAAGCGATGAATACAATAGCAGCTACGAGTATCAATATCACGACGGTGAGAGCACCAATGATGAATCCAATATAGCTTTCGGGCTCATCGTCGGTACGACCGTCTGTTTTTGATTGAGATACAGTCAGATTGGCCACTTTTGAGGTGGTACTTTTCACTTCGTCACGTTGAGGAGGGTACTCTGGACCTATAGGAGGCAGCGCGGTGTCGTCTTCTACGAGGTCGGTGAAATTCCCCGATGCTGGAACTGGAAGAAATAGTATAGTGAAAGCCTTTTATACGGAAAAGTGATCGTACTAATGGTTTAAGAAAAATTATTTAGTTCTTTACATATAGGTCTCTAGTACTAATATAAAGTTAGCTATAATTCATTGTTATAGAATTGATGCATAAATACTATATTTTAGCGCGAATTTAACAACAAAAATACAAGATGACTGCTGGGTGCCATCTTGGAACATTTTCTAATTATCATTTTGATTCATATATGTCCTTTATAATCCCAATTGCAGAATAAAAATGCAATAATATTCAAAATAGCGGACTGGCAGGCTATTAAGATTGAGCATTTTTATTACTAGCTTTCTTTTAACGTGATCTGTTTTCGGTTAGTAAGTATTTATGGAAACTGAATCTTGAACCAGTTAACCTTAACCAGTTGAGTTGAAATTTTATACGCTTTCGTGACAACACAAAATGAATCAACTGACACCACATTGAATCCAATATGGCAGATGCTTCATTTCCATAGTAACCACTATGATATGGGTATGAAACGTAAGGGCTTGATGAGAGAAACACATTAAGTAACGAGACGTCATATCCAATATGGCTGCCGCCACAGGATGGCGATTAACATATTGTATTGTTATCCCTGCGACGTGATTAACAAATGAAAGGGCTTCCTGACAGAAACACAAAAAGCAAAGTGACGTCATTTTAAATTCAATATGGCGGCTGCCGCAAAATAGCGTTCTCCATTTTTAACAGGCACCCCTATCATATGGGTATCAAACGAAAGGGCTTGATAAAAGAAACTCGATAAGCAACGAAATACAATTCTTAATCCAATATGCAGGCTACCGCAAAATGGAGTTTTATAGTCTCAATAGTTGCCCCTATACTATAGATATCCATTGAAGTGGCTTGATGAGGGACTCCATTAAGCAAATAACGACATTCTAAATTCCATGTGCTGTGATCGCCGCAAAAAGAAGTTATGTTTAATGGAATTCTAAATATATGAAAGTTATATAGAAATTATCAAACTAGCTGTTCGATACCATGAATACTAAAAAGTAAAAAATATAATAAAACATTTTTAGAAACGAGGTTTTATTTAACTGTTCATATATAAAACATTTTTCTCTGATTGGAAATATTTAAAGCAGGCTTGTGAGATCATCCATTTCCGACAAAAATATGTTCCTGTTCTTCGTATCATTAAAGGTGCCATCATAATGTTATTTCGTCTTTAGAGATAAGACTGATAGACGACCTCAACACTTCTGTACTTTTTCTTCCGAGAATGACTTTATCGGTGTACAGCTTACGTCACGCAATTGTGGAGTACACCCATCCAGTCCTATTGTGAGGCTCATATCGTTGCTCTTAATATTATGGAAGCGTTCTGTAAGCTGTGGCATGTTGCTCTTCTACGCAAACTTCACTCCTTTGACCTCCCCATGAGTGGCTGAATTTCTCTCTGGCCGCAAGATATCCATCGCAATTGACGGGTCCTCTTTCTGGTTCCACAACGTTCACGCGGGTCCTCCCCAGGGATCGGTCTTAGGTCCGGCACCTTTCCGTTTACAAATCAACTACCTCCTATCCTGTACGATCAATCCAATACTCAGTTTTGCTGATGACAGCACTCTACATGCAGGATTTCAGAGTTACAAGTCGATCTATACCGGTGAGCTTGTGAATGACATCGTCTCTGGCGAGACCTGGATGTCGAAAAGCTATTTGTTTATGGCTAAAACGTACTTTGGTGCCACCGCGCGATGTTCTTTTCAGTCAAACCTGTCTGACTTTGGCCTGCCTTCCTAACCGAGTCGAACTTCGTACATCCAGAACTGGCCGATACAACCGCTCCTTTGTTGCTAGGGTATCGAGATTTAGGAACCGTCTACAAGACGAGGCTATTTCCATTCTATTAACCTTAGACAGTTCAAAAATCTGATTAACAAAGTTCCTTCAAGATCCTCATAGCAGCCGAGGTGCCCCGGCACTTAGGCTCCTGCCTGCGCGCCTCTTTGGTGTGAAGAATGCAAGAGGGTTCAGGTTGGGAAACAAAAACAACAAGCGATGATAGTGACATTAGCAAAACTTCAAAGGATTTTTGATCGCGAGAACTTATTCTTCTTTTTTTAAGAGTTATCGATGCTATACTCACAGGCATGCCTCGACACTTGAATAACATCGGACATCGGAAAAAAACAACAGGCTCATTTCTGAGTAGAGTCGAGTCTTTCAACTAAGACAGAATATGTTTAAACAGTCTGGAATCTTCGAATCGTAGTTGAAATATTGTTCAAACTCCGGGTTCCCGTCCTTGTGAAAGTTTTCGAATTTAGCCTTGGTAGGAGTATAGTTATTACCAGATACTATTTAAACCTCAAGAAAACGTGTATCTAAAATAAATATCCTGACGTAAATGGCAACTTTATCTGTAAGTACGCTGGTGGGTGGTCTAACAAATGCCAGGAATTTCCTTCCAGCATACGTAACTGCGGTAAACGTGCAGTAAACATTTTTTTAGCCAGCTTGATAAAGCCATAGCGACATTAATCTCTATCAAATAAATCATAAAGCGGGCCTGTATGCAAAATGGAGAGCACGCCGTATTGGCCACCGAATGGTCGAAGGCAGCTTGAATTTTATCAGCTATCCACGGCGGATGCTTTCCTGGAATATATAGAGCTGCCGGATAATGCGGAAATCTATAGGTATGGAGGTTACGTCGACATGCAGCTGTTCAGTGTTGAGGGTCAAAAAATAACGCCATTCTTAAGAATAATTCTACAATCAGGTAATAGCGTAGGGAAAGTTTTGCGAGGGAATGTTAGACGATCTACTTGCCGGAGCAGCAGAAATAGCTTCAGTCTATTGTCTGTAAAGCTTGAACTTCATCAGCCATCCACTGCGGAAGCTTTTCTGAAATTTATAGAGCTGTTGTAAATTTTGACCTAGGGAGGGTCAAAGTCAAACCCGGGTACGGTGATATAACTGGTAAACCAGTAGTCATATAGGGAAACTATATACACATTATTTATCGCCGGATGTTCAATTGTGACCTTGGATCTGACCTTAACAATGATGACCTTCAAAGTCATGTGATCAAGTCGATTTTTCTAGCCAGGGAACCATCCTAAAAGAACAATGAAGTCAGTTTATCTGAGGATTACACAGTTTTCTGAATTATCAAGAAATTATAGTAAATTTGTGTTTGACCTTGGACCCATTCAAGGTCAAAGTCCCCAAAATGGTCAAGGACATATTGGGGCATTAAATTTTCTCTGTCAAAACTATACGGCCTTATTAAAAAAAGAAGTGACTATTGAATGACCTTGTGAATCATGGCCAAGGTCAGATCCAAGGTCACCATTGGATAATTGTGGAAAATCGTGAAAATACTATCTCTATAGTTTCCCTTCCAAGTTATATTACCCTACCTGGATTTGACTTTGACCATGACTTCCTAAGGTCAGAATTTAAGAATGACCAAGACCATAATTGAATGTAAGGTTTTACGCTCCTTTCATTTAAAGGGGCTAAAAATATTATTATATCTACTTGACCTTCAAATAACCATGAAGGTTAAGGTCAAGGTTCCAAGTACACCGCTGGATAGCTGAAGAAAAAACCTATCAATCGCGGGGCTTAGTTTTTTCTTCCATTATTGGTTCATAAATTATCGTGGGGTTCCGAAATTTTTGTAACAAAATCAATCTTTGAAGGAGTGCTTGGCCAGAAAAGTAAAATTATGTATATATCAACTTCAAAATTATTTCATGTCTAGTACATTGGCGATCGACCTCCTGTTCTATATTATCACCACCAGTATGAACAAAAAGTGCGGTCGATATAGCAGTTCATTTTGTGTACCGCATCATGATTTATTGAATGGAGATTAATGCGTGTACTCTAAGCGGGCGAAAGTGTAGCAAAACAATAAGTCACCGGGTAGAGACTCGGCTTAGCCGGTGATTATGGATAGTGATGGGATTACAAGACATCCCAAGGTGGGTCCTGAGGGACACCAACAACGCTGGTGGAAGGATTAGCGCCAAATGGGAACGGATGGCTTTGCGAGGGAAAGAGGGTTCGATGGGTCATTAGGCCAGTTTGTTACCCTGAAGAATATTATATCCTGGAGGATTAGTAGCTTATAGCATGGTAATCGACATAATAGGTATTCCTGGTATTAGAGACATGAAACTTGACCTGAATATAAGCAGATCTCTACTACTCCATAAGGCTATTTGATACTGAAATACCGCTGAACAATAGCAGCAGGTATGCTTGATTCCTACGATGAAAGATGATAGTACAGTCGAATTATACTTCAGTTGTTGTAGGTACTAAAAAGTCAATGACAATTTTATTAAGGTTACAATATGTCCGTAAAGTGATCGGAATGTTTCTGTGAGCATGGATAGCAAGATACGTTCTTATCAAAATACAGGGTGTAGATTTAGCTTACAGAATAATTGTCAAAGATAACTGTTTCAATACTTTACATCATTACAGATCGATAAATAATTTATTGGTCCCTTAGATCATACAAAAAAATAATCTAAAGTCATGTATTTACAATTTGGTACATTAAAGAGATTTGCAGTTAATGCCGCGTTGATATGACTGCTTGCTGATGGACATTGACTTTTGAAAGGAGTGTTTTCCCATGAGCTTATCTTGAGTTGGAACTCCGGAAAACCATTCCATTTTGCCACCAAATAGTTGTACAACGTGAATCATAGTATGCAGAGAAGTCCTAAATATACCCAATACATACTAGCAGCCAATAAGAAACAATATTAACAAAAAATATTGAAGGGCTTGATTTTGTAATGGTTCGCGACTTTTCGAACGAATTTATGGAAAATTTTCGCAAAATTGTAAGTCAATAACATTACATAAACAAATTGAAAACTTTTATTTCTTATGCATTTGCCGCCCTTGTTCCCTATTCCTTTGGTAGTAGAACATTTTTACTTATTCCTTATAATAAAGCACTTAAAA